AAATTTTGAAATCTTATACCTCTCGAAAATGTCATTTCCTGCGTTTTGAGTATCCAAGACACTATTGACTGCACACACTCAGCTATGTTATCGATAAAATCCCGTAGACTTCGCAAAAAAGCCTCAACTTTAATTATTCACACTCAGTTTTTGCACACTTTTTATAGAACTGATATATGGTGAAATTTCACAAGGAGGTTGTTCGCTTTTTGGTTGTATTCCCACCTCCCCTTCGGACTACTCGGGTGTTGATTTCTATCATGTGCACTCTAGTAGCAGGAAGGATTTTATTAGTCGCTACTAACCACATTAAACTTTAATAGAAGCGGGGCCTGAATTACAAGGAAATATTTTCTTCTAATACTTTTATTGATAAAATAATTATGTCCTGCAAGTTAGTATACTGTAGTTCTGTAAAATATTTTGCATTTTTCATATACTCAAAAAGCTTTTAAAAGAGACTAATAAGTCATGTGCTTTACGAGTGGTTTTAATTCCTGGTCATAACGTTTTGTTCCCTGGAGTTTTTCCTGACCTTATGTTGTGTTGAACCCGTTTTCAAGATCAATGAAAGATAACGCGTGTCAAGGGATAACCTTTATGTTACTGAGAGGTGTGCAGTGTTTGCATAAAATGCACACCACAAAAAGTACTTCTATTCTGACAAGGTACGACGAACGTCGTGTGCATTATATGACATATACTCCAGCAATATGATACAGCTATGGGAACTCATTAGTTTTCTACCAGTGATGAGCGAAAACTGATCAAACCATTAACTATCGTTCGGGCAATGCAAAAGCAAGCCTACAAGCAGCTGTAATTTGTTTTAAGGATGTAAACTATTTTAAAATTCATTAAAATATGTAGTACGCAGTCTAACATTACGATGAACAAAACAATGGTCTTGAGTAGGTCGGCTCAGTGAAAGAGAATAGATTCTGGGTCTTGATTAGCTAATGTAGCTATGTGTCGAAGAACATCCTTCTTTGTTATGATGCCAAGTAATCGCCTGTAGATACAATACAATACAGCAATCAATTTAATCGATCCATCTTCCCGTCTGCATTTGATACTGACATGTGTAATGACTAGGTTCCAGTCTCTTACCCATTGTGAGTAATCAGTGTTTGTCTGAGTCCAACTCTACGAAATAATTCCACAACTGTTTCCATTGGTGTAGCATCAGTGATTTGAATTGGGCTCTAAAACACAATAAATGGTATCATCATCATCATCTTGAGCGATACTTATCTCATTAATATTTACGCATATCTATGAATGATAACAGATTTTCACTATTTCTGATTTATCGGTTTCTACTTCCCATTATAAAAATGGAACTGTTAAAAAGTAGTTAAAAGACTGATAAAGGAAATCGCATTAGAGCGAGCACAGCAACTAACATCATTAGCCAGTCAATAGAGAGGAAACTGTAAGGAAAAACCAAAGATGTCTTTGAGAAAAAGTGGCAATGGAATTTACCATTATGACATTTGAACAAGACAGAAAGTATGGAAGTACAATTTACCTGAAGATATAGTAGACTCGAGTACAAAAGGTGTGTTTATTTGCATCAAAAAATACTTTCCTGTCAGACGTTAAAATCACTTACCACATCTAAGATATGACGAAGAGATAAATTTGCAGCTTGTCCAGGTGAGTTGTACCTCGGTGAATGGTCGGTAAAGAAGACACGTGATGCTGATACTACCTCTTCATTTCTAATACGCGCATGCTCTATACAGATATCAAAAACTTAAAAACATGCATGGTAAAAAAGAGGGGTGTTGTTGTATGGGTATAGAAGACCTAAGCCAATAAACGTGTAACTTCGTTCCGTAAATTCTTGACAAAGTCATAATCGCTACCAAATGTGGGATAAAGACGTTGTGTGACTCTACAATACCTTTACTTACTTAACGCTATTCTCAAATCTTTCGAAAGAACAAACCCGATCAGACTGTGTGATTCTTGGTCCACTACAACAGGAAAACCACGGAACTTTGATTCGTCCAAAAGTTGTTCTTGAAATTGCAAAATTTTGTAATTAAGTGAAGAAATGGCTATAATGCAGTATAAAGTAAGTACTGGTTTAGAAAATTCATAAAAACAAATGATGTTTGAGTAACAGACAAGCAGTTACCGTCAAACTTATCACATTCTATAATGTTAGTTAATATTGCTTACCGAGTTCACCAACCGTTGAGCCATCCTGCGTGATGCATTCAAGAGGTGGATCGTGTTTCCTGAAAAAAGAAACACATAAAAAAAGGAAAAAAAGAAAATCTAAATATGAATGAAGCTGTTGGTATTGTGAGCAATGAATGCAAAGCAACATGTCGCCACTATGTGTCACTAACTTGTGGCAGCCTTTATTATTATGCTCACCTTGGTCTCATACAGTCAGCTGCAAGCGTTGTATGTGTAAACTCATCTTTACTATCTAAGAATGGATAGCCATTCAAACGAATGTGCCCGTCATAACTATTTCAAAATAGTCAAGAAAATGACTGACAATGATACATTCGTTTTGATTTGTACTTGCGCTACACAAGCTTATGATTCATTCTTTCTTTAGTGGATTTGCTGGGCAGTCCGTTAGTTTGACTTGGTTGGTCAATATTGATTTGTAAGTAAGAGAATTAGTTAGATTGTTAGTTGTCTGGTTGATTATTTGATCAAAATGAGTTAATTGGATTATTAACTTGTCAGTCAGTTAGCTATTTACTATTCACCATTTTTGAGAACTTTGAATTACACGAAATTAGGTGAGGACATTCAAGCCGTTTTCAGTACAGCACGTAAACTTAAAGTGGCGATGCCATAATTTGAAAACCTTACACAAACAATAATTATTGTAACAAGGATACATCCCTTCTTTGATGAAGGCATCACCAACCCACTTGCTGACCATGACGGCAACCATTAAAGGTACGATATATGTCAACCCACCAGTTAATTCAAACATTATAACCACTAGTGAAACTAACAATAAACAAAACTTGTATTAGTACAAAAAAGAAAACATTTTGTTTAAGACAAAATAAATGAAAACATTTACTAACCAGTCATTTTTGTAACTCCACCAAGAACTGCTGCAGCACCAACCATGGCATACAATCCTGGTGTAACACATGTATTGATTGATTTACCACATGATGACGCAAATATCAACCACGTTGGGTTGTAGCTGAAGGATAAAATTATAACCAAACCACAATGATCTTAAGGAGAATTTTAAAATATCTACTTATGTGTTAGAAATGCTTTTATCACAGAATTATGTACAAATTTGCAGAGATCCACATTTTTCCATGACTCATTTGCCACTACTTCATCTAAAGTAATGATATTAATTAACTTACAAGGCCAATTGTTCAATTCCAATACCCAAAACTCTACCAACACAGGCACCTATTGCCATACTTGGAATGAAGAGACCTGCAGGCACCTAAGGAATAAATTAACTCCTTGTTATATAAAACCACATGTGCTGTGTAAAGCTGACCAAATAACAAATAAGAGAAAAGACAAGTAGACCAGGAAAAATATTATTTATAGGTATCCAAACAAGCTGCTATCTATTATTACGAATCTTATTTTTATCGTGTGTTATTAGTCACTGCATTATTACATTTTATAATAAACAGATTAGTGTGGTGGGAATCTCCTCCAATAATATTTCAACAAAGTACATAAATTACAAATTTACCAATTGTCTTGCTTTTGACACAAGAGATTATATACTGCGCTAGTAAATGTTTCACACTCAGCCAAAAACTACCTCTGAGGAATGTTAAAGTGTGAGCGCAGGAATACTCCAATAAAGCTTTTTTGTATCTTGAAATAAATCTACACATGTATGTACCTTGATCCCAAAAGTAAAGACAGTAATAAAAAGCTTAAACAAAGCAGCAAGAAGTAACTGCCAAACAGCTTTGGTTACACCATTATCTGCCTCTGCACCTGGATATCGTGGGTCATTCACATTGATGGTGTTGTTATTGGTGATGTAATCACTAGAAAATCAAATAAATAACCAAATGATGAATATAATACTTGTTCTAAAAATAATACCACACACGATCTAATAATAATAATAATAAAGTCTTTAAATAAAGTCTTTTGTTTTGAGAGGGTAGCACGTAATAGTCCTTAGACTAATAAACTTGTGGCCCTCTATATATTCACTCATACTCACTACCTCAACATTCACTATTTTACTACACGACACTCCTCACAGCTAGTTTTTTAATATTTGTCTTAAAATGATGTTTGTATTACACTTTGGCTCAAATTTGCACTACTGTCACAAATTCCCCCAAACACTCCGTATCTCACCATAGGGCAGTGTTGTCATCAGGTCCACATTGTCTAAACAAATGCTGAATAAGAACACTGGAGCTTTGTCTGTAAACAAATAAACAATGCATTTCAATAATAGATACAAATGCATCAGTAGTGGCAGCAAGTGTGTTCATTCATGCAATCAAAATGTAAGGTTTTTTCACACTCAAATATTTATTTTTAGCTGACCTTGTGTATGGATTTGGGTATGCAAGCAGGGCAGTTATAACAGTAACTAATAATACCTGAAACAATCAAAACATGAATAGAAGGTGATAATTAATAAACAAATAAATGGATGAATGACAGTATAAATTAATGGTACAAAATGTGAATATTCAAAACTACAATTATCCCCAGTTCTATGCAAATCACTTCTCAATTTAATTCATTTTTATCATTTTCTCCATAAAACGGTGCTGTGAAAATGCTGCCTGGTTTACATATTTTTATGTATCATCAATAAATGCATCAATTCAAGTAGAGAATATTTCAGAGTGTACCTCTGCAATAGAGAAATTTCCAAATGAAGATTGCTTTCTCTTCTTGCACCACCATAAATTAGCTTTGATAAAGAATGCTCCAATCAGACCCTGAAACAATTAACAATTAAAGATTTTTATGAGATGAGGCTGTCAACAGGAGCATCCACTGGATCATGGATGGGGATTTATTTGATTCCAATGGGAAGTGCTTTATTTATTTATTCTTTATGCAAAAGATCCTAGGAGATTTGTTTGAAATAGTGGTGGCATTGCAACTAGTCCACTTCAGGCAAGTTCAAAATATGTTCACACTTGTAAGGACATGGAAACAATAATTGATTATTTATCTCATAATTTTTATAGAGACCTTGACAACCTTCTCTCATCCTTCTGCTCCCTACAATTGCGCATCTCTGGATTGAGTCAGTTTTTAGTTCACAGGAGATTTTATTGCTTACCCCAAGTGCACCAAGAAAGATAAATGGTACAAGCTCAAAAAGCTTCCATGGTGTTGAATATTCAACATAAAACATTACAAGTCTGCCAGTCCCATAAGGATTCATATAACCAAGTGTAAAAGCTGCTACCATAGCACAGAAGAACGATCTCCATAATGTCTTCATGGGAAAGTAATAACTGACCTAAGAACACCAAGCTTGGTTAATGTCAACAAAATATGATGATTGAAAACAATGTCAAATGTGCAAAAGCATCCATAGGGTGGGATGAAATCATCTGACAAAACTAGTCAATTATTAGCTCTAAACCAACAAGGGTTAAATTCAAATATATACCTCTTCCAGGCTGAAAAGAACACCACCAATAGGAGCTCCAAATGCAACTGAAACACCAGCTGCTGCAGCTGCAGATAGAACCTATGACAAGATATTATAGATAACCCTAACCCTATGACAAGATATTATGTACCTATGACAAGATATTATGTACCTATTGTACTATGAC